AAACAGTGCACAAACGCTACGAGACGGAATTCCCTCCTAATTCTGCCCTACGCTCCAAAAGGGGAGGGGCCTGAGAGCACAGCTAAATGCACAGCAGTCCATTTTCACCAGGCCCAACAACAAGAGCAAGGCTGCTACCAGAGCATCTTATCGTGTCAGTCACATTCTTGCGAAACACATGAAGTCTTTCGAAGACGGCGAAGTTATGAAAGAAGCTTTCCTGGAGGCTGCGACGCGCTTTTGTGGGACAGTAGCATTTCAACAGGTTTTTGATATAATAAAAACTCAATTTAGATACCGTTATTAATCTGCTGTAAGTTTTAGTTTGTTTGAATTTATTCATGATAATTATTGTACAAAATGGTATAAGAATGCAAACATTAAGATCTGTTCTGTTTAAATTGATTATAGTCTATCAGTTCAGAAACTAGTGTTGCTTGCATCCTATTTTAAAGGCATTTATTTGTATACTCTAATAAAATGCAACAAAAAATGGGTTTGATTCTATTAATGTTGTCTTTTTTATTGCACTGTTGCTGCAGCAGATTACTGTGTAGCTTCAGATCTGAGTTGTCTTATTAGTAAGCCTAATTTATACTTTTGTAACACTATTTTTATATAATGGCAAAGAAAGGGTTCTTCAGAGTCTTTTCTTTTTTTCCTGTGTCATATGTGGCAGCACTGCCACAAGTTCCTCTTCAGAGAGGGTCTTCAGTACAGGTGGCAATATTGTCACCTGCCTGCGCTCATCTCTGAAACCAGACCATGTAAACAGGCTGGTATTTCTTGCAAAAAATCTTTAAGAGATTACATGAGCAGCCCTACCAGCATTTGCCATGGTGGCCTAAACATTTTATTTGGTCTTAAATTGTAGTTCAACATTTATTTCCTGTTACTTCTGGACCATGACGGTTGGCCAGCCTTCAACGTTTAACTGAGTGGAATATGTTGAATATGTTTTACCAAAATGTTGGCTATATGTTAAGGAGTTTTCAGTAGGTTGTGACAGTGCACTGCAACATATTTGATTTCATTTATTTTGGTCTAATTTATTTTTATTTATCATATTAATATATGTTTAGTATGGTTTTGGAAGTGCGCTCCAACACATTTATTGATCTTGTTTATTGGTAAAATATTATTTGTTTTAAAGTTCAATAAATGGTCAATGAATAATCGTCAAAATAATCGTGATATCAATTATTGACCAAATAATCGTGATTATGATTTTTGCCATAATCGCACAGCCCTAGTGTAGGGGGCGGTTTGGGAAAAAAAAAAACAGGGTCCCCGCCGCTGGCTTTTGTGACATGAAATCCCTGTGTACAATTAAATACTTTTATCTTATCAATAAACGTAAAAGGAGACATTCCATTATAATAAGCAATCCTACCACACATCATGTGCTGTAGCAGATCACATACGAACAACATTTATTTTATAATGTTCTGTGTTTTATAAGTCATTGTAGGTTAAGAATGTGTATGTGCATGACAGAATAAACATCAGGTTCTTATATTTCAGTTCAAAGAGGCTTTTTATTTACATGACTATATGAGAAAGTGATGGAAACGACAGTGGCTGACAATGGCCCAACAATATGGAAAGTGAACCTCAAGAACTCATTATTTTCAGAAAGTTCAATAAAAATAAATGCAAAAAAGACAGATTGTATTGAGTTACACTATACTTGAACAAAGGCCCGCCCTGATATAATGTCAGGACATTTGCTCTATAGTTTCATCGTTCTTTAATGAAAACAAAAATAATTAGTTTGGACTTTTTTTATCCCTTCCAAGTCTTTCCACTGCAACCGTTTTATAGTTACACTTCATCTGGCGCACACTATCTGAAAGCTAAATGAAAACTGGATATTAGTTTATAATAACAAACTCAACATGCCAGTTTTGGTAAAAGGTTATTCATAATACTCATGACAGAAGGCAAATTCACACCGCAGTACTTTTCCAACAAAGGTTCATGAGAACTTAGTTCATGAGAACTCTTTAGTTCTCATGAACGCGTTCACACCGGAATAAGTCCCTGGGGAGGTTTAGGCAAATGAAGCCGCTGACGTCACTTCTTCTGCTTTGGGTTTACTGGCAGGCCGCAAACCACTTCCCCAGCCAGAAGTCCCCGGAGTTGGGGACTGGCTTCAGTAGAAGCTGCTGGGACTCCCAGCAGCTTCTACTGAAGCCTTCCGAGTAAATCGCCAGAACGCCGACAACTCCTCATCCTCATCTTATTTTGTGTTGCCATAAGTTAGTCTCTCTGCGCTGAGCTAATACTAATAATGCTAATGCGAGGATAATAAAATGGCGGCTTCACAAAACTTTTTGGGAGTTTTACGGGGCGTGGTTTGCAATCCGCCCAGCCAATCAGAAATAGGAACCTTTTTCTCCCACGAAAGTCCCTGCTCTCTAGCAGGGAAGGAAAAGGGGGCGAAAAGGTTCTCATGAACTAATTTTAGTTCCGGCTCTTTTTGGTGTGAACGCAACATTTCGGAACTAAAGTGGGAAAAGTACTGCGGTGTGAACGCGCCTATAGATAAAGAAAACAAATCAAGCACAATAAAACAAGGTGGACATGTGTAAGAGAAAACAAGAGCTGCTGAATATCTAGCCCAGCCGACGGACAAAATGTTTAAAACAGGATTCATTGACAGGTTTGTCTTCTATGTTTTAAACAGCAAGTACTACAGCAACTTTTTGGTCCGACCGGGATTGTTCATCTGGCCTGGTTCGTGACTTCAAAGCTGGCCGCCTGATCGATGAGCGATTATTCAGTGATGTCCTCGATGCAGGGCTTGAAATTAACTTTTTTCCTCAGTGTCCCACAACTGTCCCGAATTCTACTTTGTATTGTCCCGGATATAACCAGCAGTGTCCCAAATTTAAATTTGTATCGTCGCCCCCCCCAATTATGCAGAATACATATAATTTGATACTTTTTTGTCACTTAATCATCACACCATAGACTCCGGTCCACCATGTAAGTTTAAAATACTTGTTCTTTTAAACATATGAATATTAGTCTGATCTGTTGCCTCTCCTAGAGTACAAGGGAAGAGAGTTGTTTTAAGACATGTTTTTCTATTGTTTCTCAATATCCAGACTAATTTATCATTGTCATGTCAACATAGAAGAATTCTGATTTGTATTTTTCAATTCAATATGGTATGGCTGTATGGGCTCTGTGTTTTATGATCGGAACCCTCCATCTGGCAATAAAAGTGGCATGAATGATAATAAAAAAACAGAAGTTCCATAATACAGTTTACTAAATGTATCTGTTTTCAGTTCTAATTACAAGTTATCCTCACAAGTCAGTAGTACTATAGGAATATAAATTGATCTTCTATCTTCATTCATGATTGTCAATCATCTTGCTCTCACTCATTCACCCCCCCCCCCTAGGCACAAAAACAACTGGAACATTACTCTCTCTTAACATGACACATTAGTCTCATACCAGAGTTGATTCTTGACAAACTAAAATTACCTTGCGACCCCCTTTCTAATCGTCACCCAATCTGACTGACGTTCTAGACCCAAAAAAACTAAAACACTAAAAAAAGATGAAAAGCTAAATGATTAGCTAAATGCCTTACGTTTTTGCAGCTAAAGATTTTAGCCTGGTCACTGACTGGCTGACAAAGAAAATACAAAAATGATCGGCTACACCTCTTATTCTGATCAACTGTATTTCACATCATTGTCACAAACTTCAAAAGAACATGACACCACATTTTAGGACGTTTGTATGCATTGTAAGGCACACTTCAGTTAATAGCGTTAGTTAGCGCTAGCTAACGCTAGCGCTAGCTAACATTGACACTTAAGACAACTAACTTACCACAGTGGAAGACGATGCATCATGACCAGGACTTGGGATGTTTTCGTTTCGGGAGTCGGCAGAATTGGGGCTTGCATCAGGGGGCTGTTTATTCAACCACCTCAGCATTTCTTTCTACTTTTTTTTAACTGTCGTGACCGTTGCATTGGCGCGAGTCTAGCAGCAGTCAGCAGCAGAGTGGATGACGTAGAATGCATTCTATGATTTGACAGCCCAATGACTTTGCAAATAACACCCATTTTGAAGTTTACTTTTAATTTTTTTTTCACTGTCCCGAAATAGTCCCAGACAAAATAGATTTGTGTCCCAGTAGGAATTTTTATGGTCCCCGGGACATCGGGACATCGTTAATTGCGAGCCCTGCCTCGATGGACGTCTCTGCGCTCTGCTGTACTTCCTCTTCCACCGTCTGTTCTTCATTTGCCTCGTTGGAGAGTGTGGCTTCTAATTCACCTGTGGCTTTATTTTTGTTGATTGAACCCTTAGGGCTGCCCAATTTCCGTGGGGCCTCAGCATCACTTTTTGGGGGACGGCCCCTTTTCTCGGGGGTCCAACATAGGGTTTAGGTGGTGAAGAAGGGCCAGGGAAATTCTTACGTAGGTGAGCGCCTTTATTGGATTCTGTCTTGCGAGGTCGGCCACGGTTTCTGGGAGAGGCCGGTGAAGTCTCCTCAGGAGGGTCGGGACGCGGGTATTTCCTGGGCCTTCCCAGCGGCTTCCATACTCGTGGCTTATTCAGCTCCTCTGGTGTCGGCCGGGGGTATTTTCTTGGTCTTCCTCTTGTGGCCGGTTCTTTTCTCGGTCGACCAATCCTCCCCTTTGTGGCGCGGCATACCTTAACTGGCACCTTATATGCAGGGGATTTCTTGTTTGGAGAGCCTGTTGGTCTACCCCTTCCCCTCTTTTCATCTCCGCTCTCCTGTTCAATACTTTTTCTGGGGCTTCCCCTCAACTTCTTTGAGATGCCATTTGATGCTGCCTCCACCTTCCTGGGCCGACCTCTCTTCTTCACTGATTCCAGCATGGGTTCCTTATTGGGAGAGCCTGTTTCACTCGGACTCTCTGACTTGCGCTTCGTGGATCCTTTTGGTCGACCCCTATTTCCCTTCGGTGTATCAGCCTTTGCAGGGGTGCTGAGAGACTTACGTGGCCGGCCTCTTTTCTTAGGAGAATGTTCTGGTGAAGCGTCGTCTTCATCACTGGCCTCTTTCTGGGACCCTGAATCATCGGCATTGTTGTCTCCTGATCCTTGCTGCTCTGTGGGTTTAATGAGTTTTGGACGTCCTCTCCCTCTCGGGGTCTGTGGGGGTTCACCGTTAGAAATGCCCGAAACCATTAGGTTGGCGTCGGTAACTACAACCGTCAGCTTCTTTGGCCTTCCCCTTCCTCTTTTAGATGGACTGTCATTGGAAATGTCTACACTAGGCTCTTCATCATTGGGCGCCACATCTTCACCTGCTGTCTCGGTCGTTATTATTTCTTCTTCCATGCTGTTGCCGTCAGCTTGGACTGCTTCTGTCAGCTTTGCACCTGTACATGGAAGATTGAAAAGGACAATTTATATATAATTCATAAAACATTTTTGCATACATTAATTATATAATATTGATTATTTACTGAGTGTGAGTGAGCTTGAAAAATGTTTTGTGCAATACAAGTCATTCAATCTTACAATGAGAAATGTATTATTTTCGCTAATGTTTAAAATAAAATAAATTAACAAACTACTTTGATAGTTAATGAAACTTGGGACATTTCTCAAACAAAAATCTCAACATGTAACCCAGTGAAGATTTTATTGGTATGTTCAATCTGAATTTTTGATGAAAGATGTAAATAATATATGATTATTTTTCTTGTTGCAGAGACCTACAACTAATAATGATTTCCATGACCAAATGCTGATTTTTAAATCAAGCACTCTGAAAATATTTAAAAAAATCTTAAGGGTGTGAATTTACAATGCGCCAATAAAGAAAACTGGAACCAGGAAAAGTGGATGCCTTCACTGTTGACATGAAGTCAGAGGTAGAGAAGAGACCATGCGAGCTTTCGCTGCCACATTTTGAGCAGCCACTACTGGAAATACTTACTGATTCCCTCAGGGCACATAGACACCATTTACCAGCAAAATGATGGTAAAATAGGCAAATAGCTTGTAGATCTATTCAACAGCCCCCTTCCCCCTGAAAAACCCCCAATGAGTTGCTATTGAGTAGCTGGTAAAACTTCATTCCCCTAGCCCAGGGGTCGGCAACCCGCGGCCCACATGCGGCCCTTTAAGCCCTCTGCTCTGGCTCCCTTGAGCTTAGACAAAAATAAGAAGGAAATCAAGCTCCATGAGCGAACTATGGATAAATCAAAGAAAAGTACCGGAGGAACACAGGATTTAATTCTGTGTGGACAGAGTTATATGCTTTCACAGCAAACGATGCTGGTTTACCGGTATGTTTGATATGTAGAGAGAAGTTGTCAACGGTGGTGCAGCCTTTACTATCGAGGAACAACAAGGGAGAGGAAGACAGCTGACGATCTTCAGTCATCATTCAATGGGGTATGTAATTTATTTCCGAAAACACTTTTTGTTATATTCCATGGAATGCTCTTAACGTCCCGATAGCAATGAATATATTAAATGCTTTGACAATAAATACATACAAAAATTCATCTCTGGAAGCCGTAGTACTGTAAAAAGCACGACCAATCATCTGAGCCGGCCCGGCTAAAATAACTGGATGGCCTACCTGCCTGTCAGCCTTCCATCTGTGCACAAACTTATCTCGTGCCTTCATTGGTCATGTGCGCGTTCGTGTGTGTTGGAGGAGGGACTCTGTAAGAAAGTCTGAAGGAAGAGGCATATTTTTTCCGGTTGTGTATTTTCAAATTCTAGCGCACTCGAGCTGGTTTCTCCATTCTTACCTACCCTACCTTTAACTCTTTTTAGGGTGCAGCTATATGTTTTATTTATTTCAAAGTGGGCCCATTTTAATAATATTTTTTTTCCCTTCAAATGTGCAGAGGACTCCCCAAGTGCTGTATTTAATCTATTTTAAAGTAGGCCTGTGTATTATTTTTTAATTCTCCTTATAATAGTTATTTGTTTCTTATTAGAGGTTAACAGTTTTATATCATGTAATAAATCGCCTAATAAATGCAAAAAAACTGTAGTTTTTGTCTGATGTAACAATAAAAAACTATGAAATAAGTTTTGCTGCTCCAGACAAAAAAATGTTTTGGAAAAAGGAGCAAAATGGCTCTTTTGGTCAAAAAGGTTGCAGACCCCTGCCCTAGCCTCTGGCCAGTGGACTAAAATATATATGTTGTACCTTTGATCAATTTATAAAAGCTTTAAAATTGTCTTTATATCAGTAAAATATTCGAATTATTAATTTGTTAAAAAATAAAATGTCTGACAAAATGTATACCATTACAATTTTGTAAAAAAATTAAAAAGGGGAGGGGTCATAAACAATCTACATAGACGACATATTCTGAAGAATAAAGAACACATTTAAATACATGATAATAAATGTAAATAAAACGGGTTTTTTTTCCTTTAAAAAAGTGTTAATGTATTTGTATCCGCGTTTCATTTAAAGCTGTTTTTTGTACATGTATTAAATGGACTACGATATTTCAGCGGCAGGAAGGCGCACCGATATTAAAGGAAGCTAACCATAACATGCACATGATTATCAATGAGTTCGTAAACTGCGTATTCAAAATCAAGTTAAAAAATCTGGAAAATATTTTAAAAAGTCGTAAGTCTCTCATACCTTTTGTGCTGTATTTAAAGCACTAAAGATTTGTAGAAATGTAGGGCCTTAACAACCACTGCGAATGTGGACTAGATTGTTTTCCAGGTAATAGTCAGCTTCAACATCCGCGGCGAAGGAGAGTAGCCAGCGGCGGGAAGCAGAAATAAATCAGCAATTGACAAAGTGCATACCTGCAAACCTCACCTTAAAGAAATCTTCTGTAGGATTCAATCTTCTTGTTCATAAATTCATCGATAACCCACACAGCCCGTGAAGTAAAAGTCCGGGCGTATTGTTGCTGTGATGGCTGTTTAAATTTGCGACCACTTCCGGTTGTCCGAGGTTTTAAGGAATCCCTGAAGGAAACAGTAGCGCAGAGTTTCAGTTCCGCTTCAGCAGCGACCCTTTTGACTTCCAGACACTAATTGTGATTTGACTACTGTAACCTACATATAACACGTGTATACCCACATTTGCTACTTTAATTAGTTACATCTGCTATCTGCAGCCCCAATACAGCATAGTCCTCCCTCTGTGATTATTTTAGTTCGATACACTTTATTGTAAATAATGATATTGGTTTCTATATAGTACCTTGCACCTTTAAACTGTGTATTATTTCAACTGTTTTTAATTATATTGAACAGAGCACATGAACATGTATAGATATAAACAAACAATTAAAGTACATTTTTACTACATTAATAATATTTCATTATAGTACATATAATATGCACATCCCTGTATATAAACCCACAATTGTATTTTCATTAAGAGAAAACAAGTAATACTAATTAAATCAAACAAAAGGGAAGGGCAGGTCTTCATGCAGTCAGACTGGTGCAGGGGATTTTGTTAAAAAGAATCCAGGAAAGACTGACATATCTTGTATTTATTAACACATCCCTGGCTAAAATATCTCAGCTCCTCCAATTGCAAGTGTGTCATTACATACAACCTACCTTTCGATTTCTTATTTAATATTTTAAGTAGATACTTTGGTATCTAAACAATGCTTTTGTTACTGGCATTTTGAAAAGTGCTGTATAAATAAAGTTATTATTATTGTTCTACTGCTTTTGTGACATGAAATCCCTGTGTACAATTAAATACTTTTATCTTATCAATAAACGTAAAAGGAGACATTCCATTATAAGCAATCCTTCCACACATCATGTGCTGTAGCAGATCACATACGAACAACATTTATTTTATAATGTTCTGTGTTTTATAAGTCATTGTAGGTTAAGAATGTGTATGTGCATGACAGAATAAACATCAGGTTCTTATATTTCAGTTCAAAGAGGCTTTTTATTTACATGACTATATGAGAAAGTGATGGAAACGACAGTGGCTGACAATGGCCCAACAATATGGAAAGTGAACCTCAAGAACTCATTATTTTCAGAAAGTTCAATAAAAATAAATGCAAAAAAGACAGATTGTATTGAGTTACACTATACTTGAACAAAGGCCCGCCCTGATGTAATGTCAGGACATTTGCTCTATAGTTTCATCGTTCTTTAATGAAAACAAAAAGAATTAGTTTGGACTTTTTTTATCCCTTCCAAGTCTTTCCACTGCAACCGTTTTATAGTTACACTTCATCTGGCGCACACTATCTGAAAGCTAAATGAAAACTGGATATCAGTTTATAATAACAAACTCAACAAGCCAGTTTTGGTAAAAGGTTATTAGTACTACTCATGACAGAAAAAAGGATATAAAGAATACAAATCAAGCACAATAAAACAAGGTGGACATGTGTAAGAGAAAACAAGAGCTGCTGAATATCTAGCCCAGCCGACGGACAAAATGTTTAAAACAGGATTCATTGACAGGTTTGTCTTCTATGTTTTAAACAGCAAGTACTACAGCAACTTTTTGGTCCGACCGGGATTGTTCATCTTGCCTGGTTCGTGACTTCAAAGTTGGCCGCCTGATCGATGAGCGATTATTCAGTGATGTCCTCGATGGACGTCTCTGCGCTCTGCTGCACTTCCTCTTCCACCGTCTGTTCTTCATTTGCCTCGTTGGAGAGTGTGGCTTCCAATTCACTTGTGGCTTTATTTTTGTTGATTGAACCCTTAGGGCTGCCCAATTCCCGTGGGGCCTCAGCATCACTTTTTGGGGGACGGCCCCTTTTTCTCGGGGGTCCAACATAGGGTTTAGGTGGTGAAGAAGGGCCAGGGAAATTCTTACGTAGGTGAGCGCCTTTATTGGATTCTGTCTTGCGAGGTCGGCCACGGTTTCTGGGAGAGGCCGGTGAAGTCTCCTCAGGAGGGTCGGGACGCGGGTATTTCCTGGGCCTTCCCAGCGGCTTCCATACTCGTGGCTTATTCAGCTCCTCTGGTGTCGGCCGGGGGTATTTTCTTGGTCTTCCTCTTGTGGCCGGTTCTTTTCTCGGTCGACCAATCCTCCCCTTTCTGGCGCGGCCTACCTTAACTGGCACCTTATATGCAGGGGATTTCTTGTTTGGAGAGCCTGTTGGTCTACCCCTTCCCCTCTTTTCATCTCCGCTCTCCTGTTCAATACTTTTTCTGGGGCTTCCCCTCAACTTCTTTGAGATGCCATTTGATGCTGCCTCCACCTTCCTGGGCCGACCTCTCTTCTTCACTGATTCCAGCATGGGTTCCTTATTGGGAGAGCCTGTTTCACTCGGACTCTCTGACTTGCGCTTCGTGGATCCTTTTGGTCGACCCCTATTTCCCTTCGGTGTATCAGCCTTTGCAGGGGTGCTGAGCAACTTACGTGGCCGGCCTCTTTTCTTAGGAGAATGTTCTAGTGAAGCGTCGTCTTCATCACTGGCCTCTTTCTGGGACCCTGAATCATCGGCATTGTTGTCTCCTGATCCTTGCTGCTCTGTGGGTTTAATGAGTTTTGGACGTCCTCTCCCTCTCGGGGTCTGTGGGGGTTCACCGTTAGAAATGCCCGAAACCATTAGGTTGACGTCGGTAACTACAACCTTCAGCTTCTTTGGCCTTCCCCTTCCTCTTTTAGATGGACTGTCATTTGAAATGTCTACACTAGGCTCTTCATCATTGGGCGCCACATCTTCACCTGCTGCCTCGGTCTTTATTATTTCTTCTTCCATGCTGTTGCCGTCAGCTTGGACTGCTTCTGTCAGCTTTGCACCTGTACATGGAAGATTGAAAAGCACAATTTATTTATAATTCATAAAACATTTTTTGCATACATTAATTATATAATATTGATTATTTACTGAGTGTGAGTGAGCTTGAAAAATGTTTTGTGCAATACAAGTCATTAAATCTTACAATGAGAAATGTATTATTTTCGCTAATGTTTAAAATAAAATAAATTAACAAACTACTTTGATAGTTAATGAAACTTGGGACATTTCTCAAACAAAAATCTCAACATGTAACCCAGTGAAGATTTTATTGGTATGTTCAATCTGAATTTTTGATGAAAGATGTAAATAATATATGATTGATTTTCCTTGTTGCAGAGACCTACAACTAATAATGATTTCCATGACCAAATGCTGATTTTTAAATCAAGCACTCTGAAAATATTTAAAAATCTTAAGGGTGTGAATTTACAATGCGCCAATAAAGAAAACTGGAACCAGGGAAAGTGGATGCCTTCACTGTTGACATGAAGTCAGAGGTAGAGAAGAGACATGCGAGCTTTCGCTGCCACATTTTGAGCAGCCACTACTGGAAATACTTACTGATTCCCTCAGGGCACATTGACACCATTTACCAGCAAAATGATGGTAAAATAGGCAAATAGCTTGTAGATCTATTCAACAGCCCCCTTCCCCCTGAAAAACCCCCAATGAGTTGCTATTGAGTAGCTGGTAAAACTTCATTCCCCTAGCCCAGGGGTCGGCAACCCGCGGCCCACATGCGGCCCTTTAAGCCCTCTGCTCTGGCTCCCTTGAGCTTAGACAAAATAAGAAGGAAATCAAATAAAAGTATTTGTAAGGACTATTTATATTTTGTTGCATGGATGAAAATGTTTCGTATCTTGTATTTTGAGGTGATACTGTGACACATAAATAAAAAACAAAACGGTTTTAATTAGGTCAACTAAAATATGCGTCACATCCCGGTACGGTCCCGCGCGAGCGCCTTTTCTTGGAGGCGAATAACCTGACCCCCGGCTCGATGAGCGAGCTATGGATAAATCAAAGAAAAGTACCGGAGGAACACAGGATTTAATTCTGTGTGGACAGAGTTATCTGCTTTCACAGCAAACGAAGCTGGTTTACCGGGATGTTTGATATGTAGAGAGAAGTTGTCAACGGTGGTGCAGCCTTTACGTATCGAGGAACAACAAGGGAGAGGAAGACAGCTGACGATCTTCAGTCATAATTCAATGGGGTATGTAATTTATTTCAGAAAACACTTTTTGTTATATTCCATGGAATGCTCTTAACGTCCCGATAGCAATGAATATATTAAATGCTTTGACAATAAATACATACAAAAATTCATCACTGGAAGCCGTAGGGCTGTAAAAAGCACGACCAATCATCTGAGCCGGCCCGGCTAAAATAACTGGATGGCCTACCTGCCTGTCAGCCTTCCATCTGTGCACAAACTTATCTCGTGCCCTCATTGGTCATGTGCGCGTTCGTGTGTGTTGGAGGAGGGACTCTGTAAGAAAGTCTGAAGGAAGAGGCATATTTTTTTCCGGTTGTGTATTTTCAAATTCTAGCGCACTCGAGCTGGTTTCTCCATTCTTACCTTTAACCTCTTTTTAGGGTGCAGCTATATGTTTTATTTATTTCAAAGTGGGGCCCATTTTAATAATATTTTTTGCTGTGTTTTAATTTATTTTAAAGTAGGCCCTGTGTATTATTTTTTAATTCTCATTATAATAGTTATATGTTTCTTATTAGAGTTAACAGTTTTTATATCATGTAATACATAGCCTAATAAAATGCAAAAAAAAAACTGTAGTTGTTTGTCTGATGTAAACAATAAAAAACTATGAAATAAGTTTTTGCGGCTCCAGACAAAAAAAATGTTTTGGAAAAAAGGAGCAAAATGGCTCTTTTGTCAAAAAGGTTGCAGACCCCTGCCCTAAGCCTCTGGCCAGTGGACTAAAATATATATGTTGTACCTTTGATCAATTTATAAAAAGCTTTAAAATTGTCTTTATATCAGTAAAATATTCGAATATATTATTTGTTAAAAAATAAAATGTCTGACAAAATGTAATACCATTACAATTTTGTAAAAAAATTAAAAGGGAGGGGTCATAACAATCTACATAGACGACATATTCTGAAGAATAAAGAAAACATTTAAATACATGATAATAAATGTATAATAAAACGGTTTTTTTTTCCTTTAAAAAAAGTGTTAATGTATTTGTATCCGCGTTTCATTTAAAGCTGTTTTTTGTACATGTATTAAATGGACTACTATATTTCAGCGGCAGGAAGGCGCACACGATATTAAAGGAAGCTACCATAACATGCACATGATTATCAATGAGTTCGTAAACTGCGTATTCAAAATCAAGTAAAAATCTGGAAAATATTTTAAAAAGTCGTAAGTCTCTCATACCTTTTGTGCTGTATTTAAAGCACTAAAGTTTGTAGAAATGTAGGGCCTTAACAACCACTGCGAATGTGGACTAGATTGTTTTCCAGGTAATAGTCAGCTTCAACATCCGCGGCGAAGGAGAGTAGCCAGCGGCGGGAAGCAGAAATAAATCAGCAATTGACAAAGTGCATACCTGCAAACCTCACCTTAAAGAAATCTTCTGTAGGATTCAATCTTCTTGTTCATAAATTCACATCGATAACCCACACAGCCCGTGAAGTAAAAGTCCGGGCGTATTGTTGCTGTGATGGCTGTTTAAATTTGCGACCACTTCCGGTTGTCCGAGGTTTTAAAGGAATCCCTGAAGGAAACAGTAGCGCAGAGTTTCAGTTCCGCTTCAGCAGCGACCCTTTTGACTTCCAGACACTAATTGTGATTTGACTACTGTAACCTACATATAACACGTGTATACCCACATTTGCCTTACTTTAATTAGTTACATCTGCTATCTGCAGCCCCAATACAGCATAGTCCTCCCTCTGTGATTATTTTAGTTCGATACACTTTATTGTAATAATGATATTGGTTTCTATATAGTACCTTGCACCTTTAAACTGTGTATTATTTCAACTGTTTTTAATTATATTGAACAGAGCACATGAACATGTATAGATATAAACAAACAATTAAAGTACATTTGTACTACATTAATAATAATATTTCATTATAGTACATATAATATGCACATCCCTGTATATAAACCCACAATTGTATTTTCATTATGAGAAAACAAGTAATACTAATTAAATCAAACAAAAGGGAAGGGCAGGTCTTCATGCAGTCAGACTGGTGCAGGGGATTTTGTTAAAAAGAATCCAGGAAAGACTGACATATCTTGTATTTATTAACACATCCCTGGCTAAAATATCTCAGCTCCTCCAATTGCAAGTGTGTCATTACATACAACCTACCTTTCGATTTCTTATTTAATATTTTAAGTAGATACTTTGGTATCTAAACAATGCTTTTGTGACGCTGTTTTGAAAAGTGCTGTATAAATAAAGTTATTATTATTGTTCTACTGCTTTTGTGACATGAAATCCCTGTGTACAATTAAATACTTTTATCTTATCAATAAACGTAAAAGGAGACATTCCATTATAATACGCAATCCTTCCACACATCATGTGCTGTAGCAGATCACATACGAACAACATTTATTTTATAATGTTCTGTGTTTTATAAGTCATTGTAGGTTAAGAATGTGTATGTGCATGACAGAATAAACATCAGGTTCTTATATTTCAGTTCAAAGAGGCTTTTTATTTACATGACTATATGAGAAAGTGATGGAAACGACAGTGGCTGACAATGGCCCAACAATATGGAAAGTGAACCTCAAGAACTCATTATTTTCAGAAAGTTCAATAAAAATAAATGCAAAAAAGACAGATTGTATTGAGTTACACTATACTTGAACAAAGGCCCGCCCTGATGTAATGTCAGGACATTTGCCTCTATAGTCTTCACATCCGTTCTTTAATGAAAAACAAAAAGAATTAGTTTGGACTTTTTTTATCCCTTCCACAGCTCTTTCCACTGCAACCGTTTTATAGTTACACTTCATCTGGCGCACACTATCTGAAAGCTAAATGAAAACTGGATATCAGTCTATAATAACAAACTCAACATGCCAGTTTTGGTAAAAGGTTATTAGTACTACTCATGACAGAAAAAAGGATATAAAGAATACAAATCAAGCACAATAAAACAAGGTGGACATGTGTAAGAGAAAACAAGAGCTGCTGAATATCTAGCCCAGCCGACGGACAAAATGTTTAAAACAGGATTCATTGACAGGTTTGTCTTCTATGTTTTAAACAGCAAGTACTACAGCAACTTTTTGGTCCGACCGGGATTGTTCATCTTGCCTGGTTCGTGACTCAAAGTGGCCGCCTGATCGATGAGCGATTATTCAGTGATGTCCTCGATGGACGTCTCTGCGCTCTGCTGCACTTCCTCTTCCACCGTCTGTTCTTCATTTGCCTCGTTGGAGAGTGTGGCTTCTAATTCACTTGTGGCTTTATTTTTGTTGATTGAACCCTTAGGGCTGCCCCAATTCCCGTGGGGCCTCAGCATCACTTTTTGGGGGACGGCCCCCTTTTCTCTCGGGGGTCCAACATAGGGTTTAGGTTGGTGAGAAGGGCCAGGGAAATTCTTACGTAGGTGATCGCCTTTATTGGATTCTGTCTTGCCGAGGAGGTCGGCCACGGGTTTCTGGGAGAGGCCGGTGAAGTCTCCTCAGGAGGGTCGGGACGCGGGTATTTCCTGGGCCTTCCCAGCGGCTTCCATACTCGTGGCTTATTCAGCTCCTCTGGCGATCGGCCGGGGGTATTTCTTGGTCTTCCTCTTGTGGCCGGTTCTTTTCTCGGTCGAACAATCCTCCCTTTCTGGCAGCGGCCTAACCTAACTGGAACCCTTATATGCAGGGGATTATTTCTTGTTGCCTGTTGGTCCAACCCTATATAAAACCCCTTCCCTCTTTCATCTTCCGCTCTCCTGTTCAATACTTTTTCTGGGGCTTCCCAGCAACTTCTTTGAGATGCCATTTGATGCTGCCTCCACCTTCCTGGGCCGACCGTCTCTTCTTCACTGATTCAGCATGGGTGTCCTTATTGGGAGAGCCCTGTTTCACTCGGACTCTCTGACTTGCGCTTCGTGGATCCTTTTGGTCGACCCTATTTCCCTTCGGTGTATAGCAGCCTTTGCAGGGGTGCTGAGAGACTTACGTGGCCGGCCTCTTTCTTAGGAGAATGTTCTAGTGAAGCGTCGTCTTTCATCACTGGCCTCTTTCTGGGACCCTGAATCATCGTCATTGGTTGTCTCTGATCCTTGCTGCTCTGTGGTTAATGAGTTTGGACGTCCGCTCCCTCTCGGGGGTCTGTGGGGGTTCACCGTTAAAAATGCCCGAAACCATTAGGTTGGCGTCGGTAACTACAACCTTCAGCTTCTTTGGCCTTCCCCTTCCTCTTTTAGATGGACTGTCATTGGAAATGTCTACACTAGGCTCTTCATCATTGGGCGCCACATCTTCACCTGCTGCCTCGGTCTTTATTATTTCTTCTTCCATGCTGTTGCCGTCAGCTTGGACTGCTTCTGTCAGCTTTGCACCTGTACATGGAAGATTGAAATGGACAATTTATTTATAATTCATAAAACATTTTTGCATACATTAATTATATAATATTGATTATTTACTGAGTGTGAGTGAGCTTGAAAAATGTTTTGTGCAATACAAGTCATTCAATCTTACAATGAGAAATGTATTATTTTCGCTAATGTTTAAAATTAAAATAAATTAACAAACTACTTTGATAGTTAATGAAACTTGGGACATTTCTCAAACAAAAATCTCAACATGTAACCCAGTGAAGATTTTATTGGTATGTTCAATCTGAATTTTTGATGAAAGATGTAAATAATATATGATTATTTTCCTTGTTGCAGAGACCTACAACTAATAATGATTTCCATGACCAAATGCTGATTTTTAAATCAAGCACTCTGAAAATATTTTAAAAAATCTTAAGGGTGTGAATTTACAATGCGCCAATAAAGAAAACTGGAACCAGGAAAAGTGGATGCCTTCACTGTTGACATGAAGTCAGAGGTAGAGAAGAGACCATGCGAGCTTTCGCTGCCACATTTTGAGCAGCCACTACTGGAAATACTTACCGATTCCCTCAGGGCACATTGACACCATTTACCAGCAAAATGATGGTAAAATAGGCAAATAGCTTGTAGATCTATTCAACAGCCCCCCTTCCCCCTGAAAAAACCCCCAATGAGTTGCTATTGAGTAGCTGGTAAAACTTCATTCCCCTAGCCCAGGGGTCGGCAAACCCGCGGCCCACATGCGGCCCTTTAAGCCCTCTGCTCTGGCTCCCTTGAGCTTAGACAAAAATAAGAAGGAAATCAAATAAAAGTATTTGTAGGACTATTTATATTTTGTTGCATGGATGAAAATGTTTCGTATCTTGTATTTTGAGGTGATACTGTGACACATAAATTACATTACATTACATTACATTGCATTTAGCTGACGCTTTTGTCCAAAGCGACTTACAATAAGTACATTCGACCAGGAAGACACAACCTTGAAGAAAACAGAATCATATAAGTATATCAGGTTTCATAGAGCCAAACATTTCAAGTGCTACTCAACTGGCTTTAGGTAATCCAGTCCTTTATTGGTATAAAAGTGCTTCGTTAATCGTTCTAACGCTCGAAGTGGAGTCGAAAGAGATGAGTTTTCAGTTTGCGCCGGAAGATGTGCAAGCTATCTGCCGTCCTGATGTCAATGGGGAGCTCATTCCACCATCTTGGAGCCAGGATAGCAAACCCACGTGTTTTCGCCGATGGGAACTTGGGTCCCCCTCGCAGCGAGGGCGCAACGAGTCGTTTGGCTGATGCAGAGTGTAGTGCACGCGCTGGGGTGTACGGTTTAACCATGTCCTGGATGTAGGAAGGGCCAGATCCATTCGCAGCACGGTAAGCAAGTACCAGTGTCTTGAAGTGGATTCTAGCAGTTACCGGAAGCCAGTGAAGGGAGCGGAGGAGCGGAGTGGTGTGGGAGAATTTAGGAAGGTTGAAAACCAGACGAGCCGCTGCATTCTGGGTGAGCTGCAGAGGGTCGGATGGCACATGCAGGTAGACCAGCCAGGAGGGAGTTGCAGTAGTCTAGGCGTGAGATGACGAGAGCCTGGACCAGAACCTGAGTCGCTTTCTGAGTCAGCTGGGGACGTATCTTCCTGATGTTGTAAAGCGTGTATCTGCAGCAGCGGGTTGTAGCAGCGATGTTTGCAGTGAAGGACAGGTTGTTATCTAGGATCACACCCAGATTCCTTGCAGTCTGAGTCGGGGGAAACAACTGAGGGTGCCGATGTTGATTGTCAGGTCAAGAGTTGGACAATCTTTTCCCGGGAGGAAGAGCAGCTCAGTCTTGTCAAGGTTGAGTTTGAGGTGATGAGCAGACATCCACTGAGAGATGTCAGCTAGACAAGCAGAGATGCGTGCGACGACCTGGGTCTCTGAGCGGGGAAAGGACAGAATTAATTGGGTGTCGTCAGCGTAGCAGTGGTAAGAAAAACCATGCGGGCTAATGACTGATCCGAGCGAGTTTGTGTACAAGGAGAAGAGGAGGGGACCAAGAACAGAGCCCTGAGGGACCCCCGTAGTTAATTGACAAGGGTCGGACTCAGACCCTCTCCAAGTCACCCTGTAGGTACGGTCTTTCAGGTATGAGGTGAGGAGGGAAAGTGCAGAGCCAGAAACTCCAAGTTTTTGGAGAGTGCGAAGGAGGATCTGATGATTCACCGTGTCGAATGCAGCAGACAGGTCCAACAGGATGATGACAGAGGAGAGGGATGCAGTTTTGGCAGTGTGCAGTTCCTCCGTGACAGCAATGAGAGCAGTTTCTGTGGAGTGACCTGCCTTGAAACCAGACTGGTGCGGATCCAGAAGGTTGTTCTGATTGAGATAACAGGAGAGTTGTTTAAAGACAGCGCGTTCAAGTGATTTAGACAGGAACGGGAGGAGAGAGACAGGCCTGTAGTTTATAACATCAGACGGGTTGAGAGTGGGTTTCTTTAGGAGAGGGTTTACTCTTGCCTCCTTGAGACTGTTTGGAAAGTGACCAGAAGTTAGAGAAGTGTTGATGAAATGGGTGAGAAACGGTAGAATATCAGGAGCGATAGTCTGAAGGAGGTTTGAAGGGATAGGGTCCAGAGGACAGGTGGTAGGGCGGGCAGAGGTAATGAGGGTAAGAACCTCACTTGGAGAGAGAGGGGAAAAGGAGGTTAGTGTGTTGGTGGAAGGAAGGTCTGGTGACCCAGCGGTGAGTAAAGGTGAGTCAGAAAAAGAAGAGCGAATATCATTAACCTTTTTTTCAAAGTGGGTAACAAAGTCGCTTGACAGAAGTGAGGAGGGGGGAGGAGCTTTTGGAGGGTCCAAGAGGGTGGAGAAGATGGAAAATAGTTTTTTTAGGATTGGAATAGGAAGATTGGATCTTATCTTGAAAGAAAGTGCTTTTTGCCTGAGAGATCGAAGCAGAGAAAGAGGAGAGGAGAGCCTGATAGGTTAGGAGGTCGTCACGGTGTTTGGATTTCCACCATTTCCGCTCTGCTGCCCTAAGGACGGTTCTATTAGCACGCAGTGCATCATTTAGCCAGGGAGCCGGAGGGGACTGACGAGCCTGCCGAGATGTCAGAGGACAGAGCGAGTCCAGAGTGGATGAGAGAGTAGAGAGGAGAGTTTCTGCAGCAGTTTGGAGGCAGTAGTTGGAACGAATCAGAGGAAGGGAGGGCTGAGAGCACCGACGAGGCAAAGGTAGAGGGAGAGAGGGAGCGAAGGTTACGGCGGACAAGTGTAGGATGGGAAGAGATTAGTTTGTTATGTTTGGAAAGGGATAGAGAGAATGAAATGAAGAAGTGATCGGATGTGTGGAGCGGGTTTACAGAGAGGTTAGAAGTAGCGCAGTTCCTTGAGAATATGAGATCAAGGACATTGCCAGCTTTATGAGTCGGTGGGGACGGAGACAGTGAGAAAGCAAAGGCGGTTAACAGAGATGTTAGTTCGTCTATCTTCCCCATCTGGAGGTTGAAGTCTCCGAGAAGTACAGCGGGAGGGCCAGTTTCAGGGATGTGTGAGAGGAGATGATCTAATTCCTCCAAGAAGTCCCCCAAGGCGCCTGGTGGACGGTAGAGAACAACAATGGTTAACTGTATAGGATGGGTTACTGTGACGGCATGGAACTCAAAGGTGGAAGGAGTAAAGTTAGGTAGCTTGAAGAGGGAAAAGCTCCATTTGGGAGAGAGCAGGAGACCAGTGCCACCTCATCTGCCAGTGGGTCTGGGTGTATGGGAGAAGGAATATGCAGTGGAGAGAGCTGCTGGGGTGGATGTGTTGGATGGAGTAATCCAGGTTTCAGTGAGAGCAAGGAAATCCAGAGACTGCAGGGAGGTGTAGCCAGAGATAAATAAAAAACAAAACGGTTTTAATTAGGTCAACTAAAATATGCGTCACATCCTGGTACGGTCCCGCGCGAGCGCCTTTTCTTGGAGGCGAATAACCTGACCCCCGGCTCGATGAGCGAACTATGGATAAATCAAAGAAAAGTACTGGAGAAACACAGGATTTAATTCTGTGTGGACAGAGTTATATGCTTTCACAGCAAACGAAGCTGGTTTACCGGGATGTTTGATATGTAGAGAGAAGTTGTCAACGGTGGTGCAGCCTTTACTATCGAGGAACAACAAGGGAGAGGAAGACAGCTGACGATCTTCAGTCATAATTCAATGGGGTATGTAATTTATTTCCGAAAACACTTTTTGTTATATTCCATGGAATGCTCTTAACGTCCCGATAGCAATGAATATATTAAATGCTTTGACAATAAATACATACAAAAATTCATCACTGGAAGCCGTAGGGCTGTAAAAAGCACGACCAATCATTTGAGCCGGCCCGGCTAAAATAACTGGATGGCCTACCTGCCTGTCAGCCTTCTATCTGTGCACAAACTTATCTCGTGCCCTCATTGGTCATGTGCGCGTTCGTGTGTGTTGGAGGAGGGACTCTGTAAGAAAGTCTGAAGGAAGAGGCATATTTTTTCCGGTTGTGTACTTTCAAATTCTAGCGCACTCGAGCTGGTTTCTCCATTCTTACCTACCCTACCTTTAACTCTTTTTAGGGTGCAGCTATATGTTTTATTTATTTCAAAAATATTTTTTTTCCCTTCAAATGTGCAGAGGACTCCCCAAGTGCTGTGTTTAATTTATTTTAAAGTAGGCCTGTGTATTCACTCGGACTCTCTGACTTGCGCTTCGTGGATCCTTTTGGTCGACCCCTATTTCCCTTCGGTGTATCAGCCTTTGCAGGGGTGCTGAGAGACTTACGTGGCCGGCCTCTTTTCTTAGGAGAATGTTCTAGTGAAGCGTCGTCTTCATCACTGGCCTCTTTCTGGGACCCTGAATCATCGGCATTGTTGTCTTCTGATCCTTGCTGCTCTGTGGGTTTAATGAGTTTTGGACGTCCTCTCCCTCTCGGGGTCTGTGGGGGTTCACCGTTAGAAATGCCCGAAACCATTAGGTTGGCGTCGGTAACTACAACCTTCAGCTTCTTTGGCCTTCCCCTTCCTCTTTTAGATGGACTGTCATTGGAAATGTCTACACTAGGCTCTTCATCATTGGGCGCCACATCTTCACCTGCTGCCTCGGTCGTTATTATTTCTTCTTCCATGCTGTTGCCGTCAGCTTGGACTGCTTCTGTCAGCTTTGCACCTGTACATGGAAGATTGAAAAGGACAATTTATTTATAATTCATAAAACATTTTTGCATACATTAATTATATAATATTGATTATTTACTGAGTGTGAGTGAGCTTGAAAAATGTTTTGTGCAATACAAGTCATTCAATCTTACAATGAGAAATGTATTATTTTCGCTAATGTTTAAAATAAAAATAAATTAACAAACTACTTTGATAGTTAATGAAACTTGGGACATTTCTCAAACAAAAATCTCAACATGTAACCCAGTGAAGATTTTATTGGTATGTTCAATCTGAATTTTTGATGAAAGATGTAAATAATATATGATTATTTTCCTTGTTGCAGAGACCTACAACTAATAATGATTTCCATGACCAAATGCTGATTTTTAAATCAAGCACTCTGAAAATATTTAAAAAATCTTAAGGGTGTGAATTTACAATGCGCCAATAAAGAAAACTGGAACCAGGGAAAGTGGATGCCTTCACTGTTGACATGAAGTCAGAGGTAGAGAAGAGACCATGCGAGCTTTCGCTGCCACATTTTGAGCAGCCACTACTGGAAATACTTACTGATTCCCTCAGGGCACATAGACACCATTTACCAGCAAAATGATGGTAAAATAGGCAAATAGCTTGTAGATCTATTCAACAGCCCCCTTCCCCCTGAAAAAACCCCCAATGAGTTGCTATTGAGTAGCTGGTAAAACTTCATTCCCCTAGCCCAGGGGTCGGCAACCCGCGGCCCACATGCGGCCCTTTAAGCCCTCTGCTCTGGCTCCCTTGAGCTTAGACAAAAATAAGAAGGAAATCAAATAAAAGTATTTGTAGGACTATTTATATTTTGTTGCATGGATGAAAATGTTTCGTATCTTGTATTTTGAGGTGATACTGTGACACATAAATAAAAAACAAAACGGTTTTAATTAGGTCAACTAAAATATGCGTCACATCCTGGTACGGTCCCGCGCGAGCGCCTTTTCTTGGAGGCGAATAACCTGACCCCCGGCTCGATGAGCGAACTATGGATAAATCAAAGAAAAGTACCGGAGAAACACAGGATTTAATTCTGTGTGGACAGAGTTATATGCTTACACAGCAAACGATGCTGGTTTACCGGGATGTTTGATATGTAGAGAGAAGTTGTCAACGGTGGTGCAGCCTTTACTATCGAGGAACAACAAGGGAGAGGAAGACAGCTGACGATCTTCAGTCATAATTCAATGGGGTATGTAATTTATTTCCGAAAACACTTTTTGTTATATTCCATGGAATGCTCTTAACGTCCCGATAGCAATGAATATATTAAATGCTTTGACAATAAATACATACAAAAATTCATCACTGGAAGCCGTAGGGCTGTAAAAAGCACGACCAATCATTTGAGCCGGCCCGGCTAAAATAACTGGATGGCCTACCTGCCTGTCAGCCTTCTATCTGTGCACAAACTTATCTCGTGCCCTCATTGGTCATGTGCGCGTTCGTGTGTGTTGGAGGAGGGACTCTGTAAGAAAGTCTGAAGGAAGAGGCATATTTTTTCCGGTTGTGTACTTTCAAATTCTAGCGCACTCGAGCTGGTTTCTCCATTCTTACCTACCCTACCTTTAACTCTTTTTAGGGTGCAGCTATATGTTTTATTTATTTCAAAAATATTTTTTTTTCCCTTCAAATGTGCAGAGGACTCCCCAAGTGCTGTGTTTAATTTATTTTAAAGTAGGCCTGTGTATTCACTCGGACTCTCTGACTTGCGCTTCGTGGATCCTTTTGGTCGACCCCTATTTCCCTTCGGTGTATCAGCCTTTGCAGGGGTGCTGAGAGACTTACGTGGCCGGCCTCTTTTCTTAGGAGAATGTTCTGGTGAAGCGTCGTCTTCATCACTGGTCTCTTTCTGGGACCCTGAATCATCGGCATTGTTGTCTTCTGATCCTTGCTGCTCTGTGGGTTTAATGAGTTTTGGACGTCCTCTCCCTCTCGGGGTCTGTGGGGGGTTCACCGTTAGAAATGCCCGAAACCATTAGGTTGGCGTCGGTAACTACAACCTTCAGCTTCTTTGGCCTTCCCCTTCCTCTTTTAGATGGACTGTCATTGGAAATGTCTACACTAGGCTCTTCATCATTGGGCGCCACATCTTCACCTGCTGCCTCGGTCGTTATTATTTCTTCTTCCATGCTGTTGCCGTCAGCTTGGACTGCTTCTGTCAGCTTTGCACCTGTACATGGAAGATTGAAAAGGACAATTTATTTATAATTCATAAAACATTTTTGCATACATTAATTATATAATATTGATTATTTACTGAGTGTGAGTGAGCTTGAAAAATGTTTTGTGCAATACAAGTCATTCAATCTTACAATGAGAAATGTATTATTTTCGCTAATGTTTAAAATAAAAATAAATTAACAAACTACTTTGATAGTTAATGAAACTTGGGACATTTCTCAAACAAAAATCTCAACATGTAACCCAGTGAAGATTTTATTGGTATGTTCAATCTGAATTTTTGATGAAAGATGTAAATAATATATGATTATTTTCCTTGTTGCAGAGACCTACAACTAATAATGATTTCCATGACCAAATGCTGATTTTTTAAATCAAGCACTCTGAAAATATTTAAAAAATCTTAAGGGTGTGAATTTACAATGCGCCAATAAAGAAAACTGGAACCAGGAAAAGTGGATGCCTTCACTGTTGACATGAAGTCAGAGGTAGAGAAGAGACCATGCGAGCTTTCGCTGCTACATTTTGAGCAGCCACTACTGGAAATACTTACTGATTCCCTCAGGGCACATTGACACCATTTACCAGCAAAATGATGGTAAAATAGGCAAATAGCTTGTAGATCTATTCAACAGCCCCCTTCCCCCTGAAAAACCCCCAATGAGTTGCTATTGAGTAGCTGGTAAAACTTCATTCCCCTAGCCCAGGGGTCGGCAACCCGCGGCCCACATGCGGCCCTTTAAGCCCTCTGCTCTGGCTCCCTTGAGCTTAGACAAAAATAAGAAGGAAATCAAATAAAAGTATTTGTAAGACTATTTATATTTTGTTGCATGGATGAAAATGTTTCGTATCTTGTATTTTGAGGTGATACTGTGACACATAAATAAAAAACAAAACGGTTTTAATTAGGTCAACTAAAATATGCGTCACATCCTGGTACGGTCCCGCGCGAGCGCCTTTTCTTGGAGGCGAATAACCTGACCCCCGGCTCGATGAGCGAACTATGGATAAATCAAAGAAAAGTACCGGAGGAACACAGGATTTAATTCTGTGTGGACAGAGTTATATGCTTACACAGCAAACGAAGCTGGTTTACCGGGATGTTTGATATGTAGAGAGAAGTTGTCAACGGTGGTGCAGCCTTTACGTATCGAGGAACAACAAGGGAGAGGAAGACAGCTGACGATCTTCAGTCATAATTCAATGGGGTATGTAATTTATTTCCGAAAACACTTTTTGTTATATTCCATGGAATGCTCTTAACGTCCCGATAGCAATGAATATATTAAATGCTTTGACAATAAATACATACAAAAATTCATCACTGGAAGCCGTAGGGCTGTAAAAAGCACGACCAATCATTTGAGCCGGCCCGGCTAAAATAACTGGATGGCCTACCTGCCTGTCAGCCTTCTATCTGTGCACAAACTTATCTCGTGCCCTCATTGGTCATGTGCGCGTTCGTGTGTGTTGGAGGAGGGACTCTGTAAGAAAGTCTGAAGGAAGAGGCATATTTTTTCCGGTTGTGTACTTTCAAATTCTAGCACACTCGAGCTGGTTTCTCCATTCTTACCTACCCTACCTTTAACTCTTTTTTAGGGTGCAGCTATATGTTTTATTTATTTCAAAAATATTTTTTTTCCCTTCAAATGTGCAGAGGACTCCCCAAGTGCTGTGTTTAATTTATTTTAAAGTAGGCCTGTGTATTCACTCGGACTCTCTGACTTGCGCTTCGTGGATCCTTTTGGTCGACCCCTATTTCCCTTCGGTGTATCAGCCTTTGCAGGGGTGCTGAGAGACTTACGTGGCCGGCCTCTTTTCTTAGGAGAATGTTCTGGTGAAGCGTCGTCTTCATCACTGGTCTCTTTCTGGGACCCTGAATCATCGGCATTGTTGTCTTCTGATCCTTGCTGCTCTGTGGGTTTAATGAGTTTTGGACGTCCTCTCCCTCTCGGGGTCTGTGGGGGTTCACCGTTAGAAATGCCCGAAACCATTAGGTTGGCGTCGGTAACTACAACCTTCAGCTTCTTTGGCCTTCCCCTTCCTCTTTTAGATGGACTGTCATTGGAAATGTCTACACTAGGCTCTTCATCATTGGGTGCCACATCTTCACCTGCTGCCTCGGTCTTTATTATTTCTTCTTCCATGCTGTTGCCGTCAGCTTGGACTGCTTCTGTCAGCTTTGCACCTGTACATGGAAGATTGAAAAGCACAATTTATATATAATTCATAAAACATTTTTGCATACATTAATTATATAATATTGATTATTTACTGAGTGTGAGTGAGCTTGAAAAATGTTTTGTGCAATACAAGTCATTCAATCTTACAATGAGAAATGTATTATTTTCGCTAATGTTTAAAATAAAATAAATTAACAAACTACTTTGATAGTTAATGAAACTTGGGACATTTCTCAAACAAAAATCTCAACATGTAACCCAGTGAAGATTTTATTGGTATGTTCAATCTGAATTTTTGATGAAAGATGTAAATAATATATGATTATTTTCCTTGTTGCAGAGACCTACAACTAATAATGATTTCCATGACCAAATGCTGATTTTTAAATCAAGCACTCTGAAAATATTTAAAAAATCTTAAGGGTGTGAATTTACAATGCGCCAATAAAGAAAACTGGAACCAGGGAAAGTGGATGCCTTCACTGTTGACATGAAGTCAGAGGTAGAGAAGAGACCATGCGAGCTTTCGCTGCCACATTTTGAGCAGCCACTACTGGAAATACTTACTGATTCCCTCAGGGCACATTGACACCATTTACCAGCAAAATGATGGTAAAATAGGCAAATAGCTTGTAGATCTATTCAACAGCCCCCTTCCCCCTGAAAAACCCCCAATGAGTTGCTATTGAGTAGCTGGTAAAACTTCATTCCCCTAGCCCAGGGGTCGGCAACCCGCGGCCCACATGCGGCCCTTTAAGCCCTCTGCTCTGGCTCCCTTGAGCTTAGACAAAAATAAGAAGGAAATCAAATAAAAGTATTTGTAAGACTATTTATATTTTGTTGCATGGATGAAAATGTTTCGTATCTTGTATTTTGAGGTGATACTGTGACACATAAATAAAAAACAAAACGGTTTTAATTAGGTCAACTAAAATATGCGTCACATCCTGGTACGGTCCCGCGCGAGCGCCTTTTCTTGGAGGCGAATAACCTGACCCCCGGCTCGATGAGCGAACTATGGATAAATCAAAGAAAAGAACCGGAGGAACACAGGATTTAATTCTGTGTGGACAGAGTTATCTGCTTTCACAGCAAACGAAGCTGGTTTACCGGGATGTTTGATATGTAGAGAGAAGTTGTCAACGGTGGTGCAGCCTTTACTATCGAGGAACAACAAGGGAGAGGAAGACAGCTGACGATCTTCAGTCATAATTCAATGGGGTATGTAATTTATTTCCGAAAACACTTTTTGTTATATTCCATGGAATGCTCTTAACGTCCCGATAGCAATGAATATATTAAATGCTTTGACAATAAATACATACAAAAATTCATCACTGGAAGCCGTAGGGCTGTAAAAAGCACGACCAATCATTTGAGCCGGCCCGGCTAAAATAACTGGATGGCCTATCTGCCTGTCAGCCTTCCATCTGTGCACAAACTTATCTCGTGCCCTCATTGGTCATGTGCGCGTTCGTGTGTGTTGGAGGAGGGACTCTGTAAGAAAGTCTGAAGGAAGAGGCATATTTTTTCCGGTTGTGTACTTTCAAATTCTAGCGCACTCGAGCTGGTTTCTCCATTCTTACCTACCCTACCTTTAACTCTTTTTAGGGTGTAGCTATATGTTTTATTTATTTCAAAAATATTTTTTTTTCCCTTCAAATGTGCAGAGGACTCCCCAAGTGCTGTGTTTAATTTATTTTAAAGTAGGCCTGTGTATTCACTCGGACTCTCTGACTTGCGCTTCGTGGATCCTTTTGGTCGACCCCTATTTCCCTTCGGTGTATCAGCCTTTGCAGGGGTGCTGAGAGACTTACGTGGCCGGCCTCTTTTCTTAGGAGAATGTTCTGGTGAAGCGTCGTCTTCATCACTGGTCTCTTTCTGGGACCCTGAATCATCGGCATTGTTGTCTTCTGATACTTGCTGCTCTGTGGGTTTAAAGAGTTTTGGACGTCCTCTCCCTCTCGGGGTCTGTGGGGGTTCACCGTTAGAAATGCCCGAAACCATTAGGTTGGCGTCGGTAACTACAACCTTCAGCTTCTTTGGCCTTCCCCTTCCTCTTTTAGATGGACTGTCATTGGAAATGTCTACACTAGGCTCTTCATCATTGGGCGCCACATCTTCACCTGCTGTCTCGGTCGTTATTATTTCTTCTTCCATGCTGTTGCCGTCAGCTTGGACTGCTTCTGTCAGCTTTGCACCTGTACATGGAAGATTGAAATGGACAATTTATTTATAATTCATAAAACATTTTTGCATACATTAATTATATAATATTGATTATTTACTGAGTGTGAGTGAGCTTGAAAAATGTTTTGTGCAATACAAGTCATTCAATCTTACAATGAGAAATGTATTATTTTCGCTAATGTTTAAAATAAAAATAAATTAACAAACTACTTTGATAGTTAATGAAACTTGGGACATTTCTCAAACAAAAATCTCAACATGTAACCCAGTGAAGATTTTATTGGTATGTTCAATCTGAATTTTTGATGAAAGATGTAAATAATATATGATTATTTTCCTTGTTGCAGAGACCTACAACTAATAATGATTTCCATGACCAAATGCTGATTTTTAAATCAAGCACTCTGAAATATTTAAAAAATCTTAAGGGTGTGAATTTACAATGCGCCAATAAAGAAAACTGGAACCAGGGAAAGTGGATGCCTTCACTGTTGACATGAAGTCAGAGGTAGAGAAGAGACCATGCGAGCTTTCGCTGCTACATTTTGAGCAGCCACTACTGGAAATACTTACTGATTCCCTCAGGGCACATTGACACCATTTACCAGCAAAATGATGGTAAAATAGGCAAATAGCTTGTAGATCTATTCAACAGCCCCCTTCCCCCTGAAAAACCCCCAATGAGTTGCTATTGAGTAGCTGGTAAAACTTCATTCCCCTAGCCCAGGGGTCGGCAACCCGCGGCCCACGGGCCGCATGCAGCCTTTTAAGCCCTCTGCTCTGGCTCCCTTGAGCTTAGACAAAAATAAGAAGGAAATCAAGCTCCATGAGCGAACTATGGATAAATCAAAGTAAAGAACCGGAGGAACACAGGATTTAATTCTGTGTGGACAGAGTTATATGCTTTCACAGCAAACGATGCTGGTTTACCGGTATGTTTGATATGTAGAGAGAAGTTGTCAACGGTGGTGCAGCCTTTACTATCGAGGAACAACAAGGGAGAGGAAGACAGCTGACGATCTTCAGTCATAATTCAATGGGGTATGTAATTTATTTCAGAAAACACTTTTTGTTATATTCCATGGAATGCTCTTAACGTCCCGATAGCAATGAATATATTAAATGCTTTGACAATAAATACATACAAAAATGTCATCTCTGGAAGCCGTAGTACTGTAAAAAGCACGACCAATCATCTGAGCCGGCCCGGCTAAAGTAACTGGATGGCCTACCTGCCTGTCAGCCTTCTATCTGTGCACAAACTTATCTCGTGCCCTCATTGGTCATGTGCGCGTTCGTGTGTGTTGGAGGAGGGACTCTGTAAGAAAGTCTGAAGGAAGAGGCATATTTTTTCCGGTTGTGTATTTTCAAATTCTAGCACACTCGAGCTGGTTTCTCCATTCTTACCTACCCTACCTTTAACTCTTTTTAGGGTGCAGCTATATGTTTTATTTATTTCAAAGTGGGCCCATTTTAATAATATTTTTTTTCCCTTCAAATGTGCAGAGGACTCCCCAAGTGCTGTGTTTAATTTATTTTAAAGTAGGCCTGTGTATTATTTTTTAATTCTCCTTATAAGAGTTATTTGTTTCTTATTAGAGGTTAACAGTTTTATATAATGTAATAAATAGCCTAATAAATGCAAAAAAACTGTAGTTTTTGTCTGATGTAACAATAAAAAACTATGAAATAAGTTTTGCGGCTCCAGACAAAAAAATGTTTTGGAAAAAGGAGCAAAATGGCTCTTTTGGTCAAAAAGGTTGCAGACCCCTGCCCTAGCCTCTGGCCAGTGGACTAAAATATATATGTTGTACCTTTGATCAATTTATAAAAGCTTTAAAATTGTCTTTATATCAGTAAAATATTCGAATTATTAATTTGTTAAAAAATAAAATGTCTGACAAAATGTATACCATTACAATTTTGTAAAAAAATTAAAAAGGGGAGGGGTCATAAACAATCTACATAGACGACATATTCTGAAGAATAAAGAACACATTTAAATACATGATAATAAATGTAAATAAAACGGTTTTTTTTTCCTTTAAAAAAGTGTTAATGTATTTGTATCCGCGTTTCATTTAAAGCTGTTTTTTGTACATGTATTAAATGGACTACGATATTTCAGCGGCAGGAAGGCGCACCGATATTAAAGGAAGCTAACCATAACATGCACATGATTATCAATGAGTTCGTAAACTGCGTATTCAAAATCAAGTTAAAAAATCTGGAAAATATTTTAAAAAGTCGTAAGTCTCTCATACCTTTTGTGCTGTATTTAAAGCACTAAAGATTTGTAGAAATGTAGGGCCTTAACAACCACTGCGAATGTGGACTAGATTGTTTTCCAGGTAATAGTCAGCTTCAACATCCGCGGCGAAGGAGAGTAGCCAGCGGCGGGAAGCAGAAATAAATCAGCAATTGACAAAGTGCATACCTGCAAACCTCACCTTAAAGAAATCTTCTGTAGGATTCAATCTTCTTGTTCATAAATGCATCGATAACCCACACAGCCCGTGAAGTAAAAGTCCGGGCGTATTGTTGATGTGATGGCTGTTTAAATTTGCGACCACTACCGGTCGTCCGAGACTTTAAGGAGTCCCTGATGGAAACAGTAGCGCAGAGTTTCAGTTCCGGATCCAGTTGGATCAGGAGCTTCTTCAAGTGTCCAACCTCATATAGAAATGTAATTGTTGCGCAGTATTTATTTCCTCAGTCGTTGTTTTAATACATTTATAATATCCTCAACAAATTTGTTTTCGAATAAAGATGTGCTTTTTTTTGCATTAATATGTTGTTCTGAGTCAGTTATTCCACCGACATGGTCACCTACAGTTATGCTCAGTGTGTGGGATTTTATTTATGCATTATAACTTTTATTGTTTCTCTATTGTTTATCTCGGTTTCCATTTTATTATATATTGTGTTGTTGGTTTTAACTTCATTCCGTTCTATGTCTGTTACTATATGTTCAGTGTTAATAAGCTCTTTGTAACTGAGTTCGAAAGATGCTATATAAATAAAGGAGGATGACACCTCTACGAAAAGACAAGTACATAACATAAATAACATACAATTAGTTACATCCACCATTCTGATTTGATGGTGATTCAAATATAATGTATCCAACACTTGTTTGAATAAAGTATTTGTTATAAAAACGATTTCACAATGTATGTTTTGGTTATATTAAAACTTTTTTTTATAGAGAGTTTTATATGTTGACTTCATCAAAATCACAAAGTCACATTTCACCTGAAGTGTTAGGGCATACCCAGGATGTAGGATTGTTGAAGCCACTGATTTGTAAAATATATAGATAAAAAGATAGATGTACAATTTCCACATCATATATGAAAACATCGATTACAACTGAGCCATTTATTGAGACATAAAAAATATATTTCAGCCCCCTCGGCTCACTGACTGCCTACACAGTATTAACTAATTGTTAGTGCATGAGTGTGACATTGTATTTGAAGAGCTAGGGACAGGAAACAAAGTTTTTTCTAATTACTTAGATGGCAATGTATAACCAACTTAAATGGCCTTCTTTAAATGTAAGAAGACACACGCATTGGCTTCAGCTGATATTTAAATGCATTTATCTTAACTATCCCCCTTATTTAAAGCAGTATGTTGTACCCTACTCACCAAATCATGAAGTTAGACATTCTGTTCAGATTTATTTCTCTGTCCCCTCTGCAAAAAAATTGATTGGCAGAAGAGCGTTCATGTTCAAAGCCCCAACTGACTGGAATACTTTACCTGCTGCTATTAGATCACTTGCATCGTAGGGTATGTTTAAACATGCATTATCATCTCACTTTCAACTGGTCTGTACTTGTTATTAATGAAACTGATATTGATGAAACTGATTTGCTCGACTGTCTCAAATTGTAATGATTGTATGCATTGCTTGAATTTTACTTAACAGACTGTATGTGGTTTGTCTTGTGTGTCATGTTTTGCATTTTGTCTTTTTGTTTATGTATGTCTGTAAGTTGTTGCTATTGTCGGGACCCCCTTGAAAACGAGATGGTGCATCTCAAGGGGTTTATCCCAATCAATACAAATGTCTATAATACTGCACAGGTCATTTTGTTTTCTCATAAGGTCATATCATATGTGCTCTGACACAATCAACTTCAGATACTTACATTAAAGTTTAAAGAGGAATTCATTTACATGAAAATAATGAAAATGCTGATGGCTGACACAACTGCTTTAGTTTATATTGTTTAAAGCGAGACTACGCAACTCTTAATAGAAGACAGTAAAAATGTTTCAATTCAATACACCTCAGGGTTTTGCTGCAACAGACTTACATGCTTGTGGTGGTCATACAAATCTAAAATGTATATACGTTGTAAATTAAAAGCAACTTAATTACTTATCATCACGTATATATATATATAGTTTTCAAACGTCATATCACATAGAAATAGTCTAAGTAGAACAAGTACCTTAAAGTTGTACTTAAGCAATACAAATGATTAAAGAAACATACACTTGTTATTTTCCAACATTTAAACTAAGACAATAAAGTTGTAAGAATAAATATCCTTGATAAGAGTTTCAAAAGACTCATACGGCATAAGATAAGTTTATTGATCCCTAAGGAAAACAATCACAGCAGGAAAACGTTGATTCATACTTGTAACCTTTACAAACTAGAATAGGCCTAATGCTACCGTTTATATCCTAAATACTATTAACTTTAATATTACATGTATGATTGTGGATCTGTCTTCGATCAGTATCAATTTAAACTGAGTTTATTAATTGCTTTCGCTTCCTCATGTCTTTCCTGTGCTTCACCACAGAGGGGAACCACATTGTCCAAGAAAGGAAATATATAGGAAGAAAAAGACCTAGAAAAATCAGAGGCAGATTATGTTGCAGAGGCTAGTTGGATAAGGGGGTGGAGTTTGAGGTACGGGCAGATTGATGAGGTCAATAAGAAGAATGCAAGAGAAGAGAAAGCAATATGCAAATGGTGTTTATATGACTGTGAGGAGAGCCAGAGAGGCTGTCGGTTCAAAAGGGGGAGAGGGAGGCTGAGAGAAAATGACAGACGTGGCCGGAGGAAAGGAAAGGAGCGTTTGAGAAAGACAACCCCTGAGAGACAGCGAGCTGAACCCGCTGCCCCAACTCAACCCCCCTCCTCACCCCAACCCCTCCCTGTGTGCTTTGCCATGGTTACCAGACAGGGCTCCCAATGCAGCCAGTTAATGTGTTTTTCAGCGGCAGGAGCGAGCTGGGTACTAATGTGTTTCAGTCTGTCTACTGCACAATCAATGTCAACTGTCCTGGGATGCACAAACACATGGAGGGGCTGAGAGCCAGGGAACACTGAGCCCCCTGGCTGAGAGTCAGGGCCACACACTGAAAGAGGACAGCAACTTTCATTTATTCACCTGAAAACTGCCGGCTCTAGCTTTGTTAAGCAGTACAACAAAAAAATTGACTTGTTTTTTGTGTTTTGTATAGGAGCCAGATATTAAATTGATGATTACTTAATTATCTCACATTTAATCTGATTTGAAATCAAACATTTATTCTACACCGCTTACAAACCCCAAAACGCCAGTCAATAGAAAACAGCTGATCATGTTTTATTTAAATCCTTCTCAATGTCCTTTTCAGTATTTATTGGATTTATATGGAATATCACAAAAACAACATGTTTTTACCATTTGTTGAATTTTATTGACATATTTTCATCAGAAAGAGAAGATTCAGAAGGTGCAAATCATTCATCCATAAAAATCATAAAAATGTAAAGCTGCAACAAGCTGTTGATTCATTAATTAGTAGATCAGGAGAAAAACTACTTTGCTAGTCAATCCTTTAGGTTTCACTTTTTTCTGACATCTTATACGGCAAATTATTAATAGATTTATTGAGAAAATAATCAGATGATGGAGCCCTGTGAAAATTCACACCTTTTAACCAACATGTTCCCTGTCAAAATCCAACAAATGAATGGGCATCAAGGTGATGACACTTGTTCTCTTGAAGACACGTCTTGGATGCCGTTGATTTTAAAATCCGATGTGAGTCATACATCGGGGTCATGAGCCTTGGCTGTCTTTTTATTGAACCGTGTAAGTGTTCATTGCACAAAGCCAGCCGAAAGGTACTGCCCCCTCCAGAGAACACGTCGTCTCCTCCTGGCTTTCCATGATGTCTGGAACATTTCGGGAATTCTCTCCTGATGAGTTCCTTCAGTCGATACGGCTCTGCAGATTATTTTTCCTATGTTTCTCTTAATCTTATGATTTATAAAAAGTCCATGCCCTCAGATGCAGCTGCATGCGACTTTGTTCCCAAGGACCTCACCTGTGACCTTTCACATCATCACAGGTTAAGGGTCTCAGGGACAATGAAGCACACCGCCAGACAAACAGCTGATCAAACAGCCTCGTCTGCAGGTGAAATCCAACTCAATGTTTTTTCTGTAAACTGTGAAATTATAACATGAAAAAGATCCCGTGACGTATGTTTGTGTGTAAATGACATATTGGTCTATTATTCATTATGTTGTTCGTTAGCTTAAGGAGATTAATTTTGACATGAAATCAACATTTCAACTAGAGACAGATACATCTCATCTTATATTAAAATTAAAATAGGCCGTTAATGAGCGACAGTGACTACATCATATCGGCTGGTTACCGTTGTTTGTTAACCGATGCAGTCCGACTGTTTCGTCTCGACACGTCTTCACAAAATGGATTGCATCACATCCTGCGGAAAAATACATATTTAGTTAGAGTACATTGTAAACCATAAAATCTCGTTATTTATCCGTGGCTCCATCGTCACGGCCCGTTTACCGTCCGTCCTCCTGAAATAGCCAGCGCCTTTTGTCCAGTGCAGGTCTGTGCGGTTAGACATTCAAACGAAATGCCCCCTGCTGGCAGACAGATAGACAAAGACACATGTACGCAGAGGAAAATCCTCAAATTCTATGTATAAATCTGGATTTTGCATTTGGGATGAGCAAACGGCCTGTATGAGCGTTAAGCCCTGACCAAGCAGTCATACATTTCACAAACACGCTGAGACTCGACTTTCCGCTTATGCACATGCATGAAACATCCACAGACAGCTGTGCCCGGAGCCGCAGACAACACTGTCGTCTTATATTTCCTACAGGCCCTGTGATCTCACAGGATTATGCAATCACTCCCCCGTGACAAAGATGTTCAGCCTTGAGGGAGTTACACTGATTTACTCTTCACCAGACAAAATAAATGCCACACAAGCCTTACACTGCAGATGCCACATGAATATGAGCCAGGGTCCAAATAACTGGTAACCAGCTGAAACGCTCCTTTTGCATCACATGCAAGTCTGTGCAGACGACAGCTTCATCGTCTGGCAACGAACCAGAACAATCCATTACTTACTAAATCTGTATGTGGCCAGGTGCGCACACATGCAGACAAACATGCGACTCCACAAAGGCACACAGAACATGAAGCGTTTGGCTGCCAGTGTGAGAAATCTGACTGCCTCTCTGTTTCCTCTTTGTCTCTGTAAGATGTTTTCCTCTGTCCCAGTTTCATGAGCTCCACTGCTGCTCCGAAAAGCACC